TATAAGCGCACTTCTATGCTTCTACTTGTAAGTTATTTAAAAGTATAAAATTGCATGAACGTCCACGATGCAATTCGAGAACGATATTTAAAATTTCGTTACTAACAATTTCGGAGCTTCTACAAAATTGGAATAATAATAATTTAAAAAAGAACAAATGCAAGGTAAAAGAATCGTGAAAAACGAGAAACGAGAAAAATGGGGAAACCTGTCAGTAGCCAAATAATTTCCTACTTTCGTCCAACACGTGACGAACTGGCGACGATCTAACATTGCCACGCGATTACGACGAAGTAAAACGCAGTGTTTTCCTGATCGAAAGGTCTCGTTTGCGTATCTCGAAAGTGGAACGATCGCGGCCAGCTTCGCTGTGCGGTACACAAGATGATTTCCCCGATAGTTACGCGATGTTCTTCCGCGTGGCTCGCATTTCCATGCTTGGCCCTCCATCAACCGCTCCTTTTTCTTGCTGCTGTCGGCCGTTTCTCGTCGCTGCTTCGTTTCGGCCTCTTGTCCTGCGCCCAACGAACCTCTTAATGTTTCTCCTCGCACTATACACCTGTCAGACGCCTCGTAATTGTGAGACGACTTTATAGCTCGAATTGATATCCGCGAAGATAGCAACGCGTCCGCGCGGTGATCAAGCGAGCAAGTTGAACGACAGAAGGCTGGAAATAAACGACACACGTCGATCGTAAAATATCTTTAGAAGCGGAAATCGCGCGAAATCTCACGCCTTACTTGGAAACTTCCATCCGTCGGCCCATTACAGTAAATCGAGAGGATTTCTGATACAGTCGGTTAGTTGGATAGAGCGTGAACAGCGATGCTGGACGTTTCATCTCGATGCGATAGCATTGAACGAAGATTGTTTGAAAGGTGGTGACGCAGAAACGACGAATGTTTAATCCCTCTCGTGCAGCGTAATCTGACAGCTTGTCAAAATACAAGAGTACAGTGAGAGCAGTGTAAATTCCACGATTTACATATCATCGTACGTGACGCGAGAGTTGGTATCGTTTATTATTTTGGTATCGTTTTTTTTTCTTTTTTTTGATCCCTCTTCTAGGATTGTTTTATTATTTCGTACTTGATTCAAATGGAGTCTTTATTATTCGAGTCTTCTTAAATTTGTAAAAAAAGAAAAAGAAAGAAGAAACAATTATATTTTTCAATCGATCCTCCGAGTTCCAAATTCTTCAACAATCACAAAATCGCATTCTCTGATCACGATGCTTCACGTGTTTCCAAATGTTCTCGAAAATCTTTCAAGTACGATCATTGATTTCGGTAATAAGATACGATCGTACGATAACAAGTGAAGTGAAAATACGATGAAAATAAAATTTCGAAGAAGCGAACGAAGGAGGGGCGCCTCTCGGTTCGATATCGATCTCGATGTTCTCACGCGCGACACGACGAGAAGCAATAACAATAAAATAGAATGAATCCCCGCGAGATGTCTGTTCACGCGAAACCATCGATCTCCGGTTAACGACGTGGACCGGCGTTCCTACACGACCACCATAAGCAAGATCTGTCTTTCGTCGATCTTCATTGAACCGGAGTCGCACGAAAAACCAGGACGATCGAACGACCGATGTCACCGACACGAAAAATTAATCGTCCTTTACCAGGGTGGCTGTCCCTCGGCATTCCACCTCGCGTTCACCACGTCGCGCGTCCCTCTCATCCTTTCTGCTCCTCCTTTCGCTATAACCTACTGGTTACCTACTGGTTGCTACCCAGTTCTGTTGGCAAGAACCGTCGAAACGCCCTGGAGAACGACCGCTGGTCGAAGAAACAGCTAATTAATGATTAGCGCGTCGCGTCGAAAGCTTTTTTTTTATCACTGGTGATATTACCATCGACGAGCAGGAAGAAGTGGAAGAATCGTGGACGAGACGTTTCACAACTTTGAGGATTTTGATGAATTTTGCATTTTGTTAGGTTTCTTTTGTCAGTTGCAAATGGAAGGCGAACTTTTCGTGAGAGGCAGAAACTTCAGATCCTTCAGACAACATTCTCAAATCCGTACTCAAAAGAATTTTCTATCTCTTTCAACATGAAAAGCTCCAAGAACATAGGCATCAGACAATTTTTTTTATAAGCTTGCACAGTGTTTTTCTTTTTTTTCTTTTCAGAAAAAGCAAAATACGACAGAAATGTTCCTCTTTGATTTTCCACTTTGAAACGGACGCCAAGCAAACGGTTGTTAACGAAATCGTGCATTTTCTTTTTCTAAAGTAACAATCAAGTACCAGATTGCAGAATAATGAAGATGGTTCATTTGAAGTATATAATATGTCCATCTATTTAAAAAAAAAAAGACAATTACTTTTTGGTCGATAATAGAAAATTAATAGAAAATATTCGATGATACCTTTCTGTGCAATTCAGAACGGCACAATTCAGAACGACTTGTTTATCAAAAACACTTCGTATCTCGATCAACCCCAATGATCCACCGGCACAAGAGCTTCAAACTTCAGATTCCAATTTACAATCTCGCGATCTCTCATTAAAGAAATTTCCATCGTTAAAGTAACGACTTGGAGTCGCGTCGGGTATCCTTCGATTGCATCTAAAATGCGAAGTGCGCGAATGCAGTTTCGTCAAGGTTGACGTCGATTGCGTTTTATCGCAGATAAGAAAAGAGCAGAGTAAAAGAGAAGCGGGCTAGTAATATATTGTAATTGCATTTCTTACGATCCGCGAATGCTTACGGGAGAAGAAGAAAAAGAAAAAGAAAAAAAAGAAGGTCCACGCCCAGCTTTTCTCCGTGGTGTGCACGGAGAAGTATTATGATACGCGGGTATAGCATTCGCGTGTACAGGCCACCCAGTGTTCGAGTGAAACGTTTCGAGAATATCGTGGCCGCAGCATTAATTATCCAGTGATCACTCCCGTGTAATTAATTGACCGATCGACCTCCTTCGGCGCGAGAGATAAGAAAAATGAATGCGCCGGGGAATCGTTTTCCGTAAGCGGACGAGAGGAACGAATACGACGATGTACGCGAGAGAGGCTGCGATTCGAACAGCGAAACCTGAACGTCGAACAGGCTCATTCCACACTCGGAATGTTGGCGGAATAATTTTACGAAGCGACGTGTGTTCACGCGCAGAAAGAAAAATGGTCACGCTACTGTTACTGATAATAGATGACGATATTTGATAATTTGCGCAAGCTTCTGATTTCGCAGAATGTATTTGATCTTGGTAATTTTATTTCGATTCGATTAATTATAAAAGTAGTTTCATTAAGTTGAAGAAGTAAACTTTAATAGTTAAAATAATAGAATAGGTATAAGACGAGACAAGTATCATATCATTGAAACATTCGCCTGTCAAATATCGATACGCTTTGCCTTGATCATGATTAATTCTAACCAGAAATTTAACATTCACTCAATCAAACTTGACATGAGTCTTCGTGTTTGCTCAAATATATTATTACGTATTACCATTAACGACTAAAATGTAAGTTTCTTGATTTCGACCATCTCATCAACAGAAAGAACGAACAGAAAAGAAACAATGAAATCTCTGATGACGACATATGTAACTTTCCAATTTCGAGTATGCTCACATTTTACAATTACGTCAAATACCATTCCAACATCGGTCTGTACTAACCATCGTTAATTGTCATCAAATTTTCAAAAAAATGATATCTATATCTAACGAACGAAAAAAAGCACCTGTAAAGAATATTGGTACAATGAAATTCGTATTATTGGAAAAATTTGGAAAACAGACACAAAGGATCGTCAGATCTTCTTGGATCTACGAAATCCCTAGAAAGAATAAGGGATGCTACCTGAAGACTATAAATAACATTCGGAAGTAAAGTGGAACGAGCTGCAGCGCTTTTCAATTAACATCAAATTGTACAAATGTATAATTGTATAATTATATACAATAGAATATACCTTTTAAGAAATCGAAATAAAAGGCTAATCTTCTCAAGTTTTAGTAAAATAATTTTGTTGCTCGATATTCGAGAAAGTATTGAAGCCTCTGTTTGCTATCCTAAGGATTAGCTTCTTTCTAAAAATGTCTTTTATAAATTTTAACAAGTACAACTTCTTAATCTCGCATCTGAACAACTACCATCACCATCGATTACCATCGAACATTTCGAGAAACAACCAGACGACCTGCGCCGAGACGAGAGGGAACGAGCGCTGAACATCGACTTAGACCACGGGACAGACATCGATCTCCCGTGGTGTTGCTCGTATGAATTTAGTACCGAACGGTGTTCCTCTCCCGCGGCGCGTGATTCCACGGGGCGCCGAAAAACGAAGAAACGGCAGCCAGCGGTGTTTACGGCTGGACGAGCGCGCTGTTAGTGGCGCGCAGCGTCGGCAGATTAGGTTCGCGTCGAGGGGCACCGACGAACGGCGACCGTCCGCATCGCGATAAACATCGATATTTTCTCTTCCGCATACCGATTTCGCGGCTGGACGTGACCCGGTGGGCAGAAATTGCGGCGTGCGGTCGATACTCGATACGATAATGGGCAACGACGCAGAGAAATTTCTCCACCGTAGATCCCGGCTACGTGTCCGTCGATCCCCGCGCCTCGAAATTCTTCTACGTTTCGGTCTTTCGATCGGCCAATTTTTTTTTTT